GGCCTGAGGGACCCCCCTGCCCCAAGTACACAAATTTTTGTGCACCGGGCCTCTAGTCTATATATATAAAAGGCTAATATGCTAAGTGTCCGATCATCCAACTGGCCGCTATGATGCACACTGACCACCAGGGGGCAGACACTCAACGCTAGAGCTGCTGAGCTACAGTGACTTGGCAGCCGAGGTTCTCAGGTGACACACCCTGAAACCAGAGAGGAGAGAACCCGATTCCTCGCAGGGTTGCATGATTCCAACTTTGGCTGTGGGTTATGTTGTTGCAGGGGCACTGTTGGCCTTGAATCTGGTTTACTGCACACTTGCTTTTTCATTCCACATCCTTGGGGATATTGGAGAGCTGGTTTTGACCCAATCCCCGCAGGCCAGGCCGAGGGACCCCACCTGCCGGAGGAAGCCTGCCCACTCTGAAGGCACTGGGGAGGGACCCTGGGAGGTTGGCTCCAGGGTGTGTCCGGCCCATCTCGCCCAGTCCCACCCTGCAGGCCACCTTCTAATTAATTTCCTTTCAATGTGCACCAATCTATGCACCGGGTTACTAGTTGTAATATAATACTGAAAATATCCACATTTTGATAGAAAATTACATGACATAGCAAGAAACAGAAAGCTCTCAACTGAATAAAAAAGATGAAAAAACAAATGACAATACCAACGTGACAGAGATATTAGAATTATTATATAAGCATTTTAAAGCAATAATAAAAAAATTATTCAACAAAGGTAAATACATTTGACACAGATTAAAAAATAGAAAAGTCTCATCAAAGAAACAAAGTGTCAGCAAATAGACAGAAGATATAACTAAGATAAACTGAAAATTTTACAACTGAAAAATATGGTAACAAATAAAAAGCTCAATGGACAAGAGCAACAGTAGATTGGTGAGGACAGAAAAAGTATCAGTGAACTTGAAGATAGAAAAACAGAAATTACTAAATCTGAACAACAACAACAATTAGACTTGAAAAAAATTATTAGGTCCTCAGGGGATTTATGAGATGATATTAAAGATCTAATATTCATGTCATCAGAGTTTAGCAAGGAGAGGTGAAGAAAAGTGTTTAAGAAATTATAACTGAAACTTTCCAAATTTGTCCAAAAGAAATCATAATCCTACAGATTCAATAAGCTATGTAAACCCCAAGCATGAGAAGCCAAAGAAATATATGACAAGAAACAACATAATTAAAGTTCTGAAATCTAAAGACAAAAATCTTGTAATAGCCAGAGAAAGCAGCATCTTAATTACTGGAGAAAACAATTAGGAAAAAAAAAATCAGATTTATCATAAGAAACCATGGACACCAGAAAGAGGTAGCACAATAGTTTCCAGGTGCTAAAAGAAAAGCGTGGTCAACCCAGAATTCTATACCCAATAAAAATATCTTTGTGGTATAAAGGGAGAATCAGGACATCCTCAGACGAAGGAAAATTAAAATTTATTGACAGTAGATCTACCATTAAGAAATAATTAAAGCAAATTATGGAAACAGAAGGCAATAATAAAGAACATCAGCAAGGAAGGAAGAATATGATTAGTAAAAATATGGGTACAGAATAGGCTTTCCTTTCCCTCTTGAGTTTTCCCAATATGCCTGATGGTTGTAGTAAAAATTATAATACTTTTTAATATGGTTGTATGTATTTAAGGTAGTATATTATAAATGGGGATGGTAAAGGGACATAAAGAAGTAAGATTTTCCTATTTAACTTGGCTATTAAAATGACAGTACCACTAGACAGTGACAAGTTTTGTACAGGTAATGTAATACCTAAGAAATCATTAATAAAATTATACAAAGAGATAAACTCAAACATCCTGTAGATAATTCAAAATGGAATTCTAAGAAATGCTCAAGAAACTCAAGAAAAAGTAGAAAAGAAAAACAGACATAAAAAACAGAGAGCAAATAAAAACAACAAAAATGATAAACTTAGCTTGAACATTTCAGTAATTAAATCATCTACCTATATAAATTAAAGACAGAAATTGGCAACCCAATTATAAGACAACCCAAATATCTGCTCTTTACAAGAAATTAATGCCAAATATAACAATACTAGAGGCCTGGTGCATGAAAATTTGTGCACTCAGGGGGGGTCCCTCAGCCCAGCCTGCACACTCAGGCAGCCCGGGAGCCCTCAGGGGATGTCCACTTGCTGGCTTACGCCTGCTCCCCAGGGGATTGAGCCTAAACTGGCAATCAGACATCCCTTTGACAGCCTGGGAGCCCTCGGAGGATGCCCAACTAATGGCTTAGTTCCGCTCCCCGGGGAGCGGGCCTAAGCCATTAGTTCCGTGGTCAGCAAACCGAGGCTTGCAAGCCACATGCGGCTCTTTGGTCCCTTGAGTGTGGCTCTTCCACACAATACCACGTGTGAGTGCGCACGTACAGTGTGATTGAAACTTCGTGGCCCATGCACAGAAGTCGGTATTTTGTGGAAGAGCCGGTATTTTGTGGAAGAGCCACACTCAAGGGGCCAAAGAGCCGCATGTGGCTTCTGAGCCGCTGTTTGCTGAGCCACAATTTGCCAACCACTGCATTAGTTGGACATCCTTAGTGCTGCAGTGGAGGCAGGAGAGGCTCCCGCCACCACCGCTGCACTGGCCAGTCATGAGCCAGCTTGTGGCTGAGCAGCACTCCCCCTGTGGAAGCGTACTCAACTCACTCCTGTGTTGAGCGTCTGCCCCCTGGTGGTCAGTACATGTCATAACAACCAGTTGTTCCCAGTCGTTCTTCGTTA